AGCAGTAGCTGTGGCATGATGGGCAATGCTTTGTTTTAGATGTTTACAAATCCTCTTCCATAATTTGTAAAATCTGTTATGTGCTTCATTTAGTTTTTTAATGTTAAAATAAGTAAATGAACGTGTCTAGTAACACTGCCATTAACTTTACAAGACAGCAGTGCCAGAAATAAACTTTTGGAATGTAAAAATGTAGTAACTAGAAGAATTTAAACCTGCTATGCCATTTCACGAGTTCACACTTTCATGTAATTAAATAAAGGTTATGCATATTTGGCATGCTGTCCGGGGAGAGAGCTCCGAGCTCAGCAAGACTCTCGAACCCAGGGCACCCTACCCCTGTCCCTGTCCAGGGAGAGAGCTCCGAGCTCGGCAAGACTCTCAAACCCAGGGCACCCTACCCCTGTCCCTGTCCGGGGAGAGAGCTCCGAGCTCGGCAAGACTCTCGAACCCAGGGCACCCTACCCCTGTCCCTGTCCAGGGAGAGGGGGGACATAGAATTTAGTCGGGGCGCAACTGAATTGTTCCTAGCAATAATTTTGATCAATTAAAATATATTTATATGTAACCACTGTCGTTGTCATCACCTGTTAAAAGTCCACATGAAATCAAAATTTACAGTATTTATTTTGTTAGCGCACATTGCTAGTGTTAAGGTCAACAAGCAATCTGTGCACGTTAATACTCTGAAAAAAAAAATCTGAAAAGAATTGATCAAAACCTGATAATTTGCTTCCGCTCTGGAATGGCACGTCTTCTCTGATGACGTCAGTTTGACGGCTCGGGCAGAATATGCTTAACCACGCCCCTCCGACCATTAGTCTGCTGTGAGTGAGAGAGGAGGAGGAGCTCAAAATCAAAACCCCGCCCTCTGCTCAATATTCCGTTTCAGCTGGAAATACGCCTCCACACTGAAATCCAGTCGGCAGCAACTTCCGGTTCACACAGACTTTAAAGTAAATATGTCAGCAAACTGCGCTCTTTCAAGGATGTGCGTTTAATGCATGGCCAAAGAACATAATCTAAGTGTTTAAAACATGCAAAGTAGTATTGCCAACTGTCCCCGTATTTAAGCAACATTACATATCAAGTCCATACAGAAAGTTTATCATATCACGCCCAGTTTAGGGAACCAAAAAAAAAAACCCGGAAAAAAAACAAAAGCACCCTTAGCTGAAACTGTAATAATAACATATTTGGAAAACTCTTCTGTGCATATTTACATCTGCGAGCGCGTCAAAGGTTTCTATTTACAATGTTTGCAGCGTTGAGCAGTGTAGCTAATCACAGACACATCCACTGAACAGGTGAACTGAGATGAGTGACAGGCTCAGTGCATTTGGAATTATACAGGGAGCACTCTTTGCACACATACTAGACCAGGGCTGTCCAAACTGGGTCCTGGAGGGCCGGTGTCCTGCAGAGTTTAGCTCCAACCCTAATTAAACACAGCTGAAGCAGCTAATCAAGCTCTTACTAGGCACACTAGAAACTTCCAGCAGGTGTGTTGAGGCAAGCTGGAGCTAAACTCTGCAGGACACCGGCCCTCCAGGACCCAGTTTGGACAGCCCTGCTCTAGACTATCTGTAATGCATTCAGAATATTAATTAAATCGGGGGTTTTTTTCATGATGCTAAGAGGAACAATGTCCCTTCACTAAAGTTCAGCTATAGTTTAGTTATTCTATATAAATGCTAAAAATTAATCTCAGACAAGAACATATTTGATTAGCTTAATTCATGTACAAATTCATACATGAAAAGATTAAGCAAAGCAAATGTGCTCAAGATTATTACATTTTGAAAAAATGATTACATTATGAAAATTTTATTACAATAATAATGTGTAGGATATCAGACCAAATCAGACAATCTAAGATTTGGTCAAAACATGGTTGAGGCACGAGGAGTCCAAATTCCACAGAGAATGTAATACTCATTACATTATGTGCAGTTTTACATTATGAGTTGCTACACACCCTAAACGGTCTTTTTCAATAATACAGCACAGTACAGAAAAGATCCGACACTACTTCTATCTAGGGATGGGTATCGTTTAGGTTTTAACGGTATTACTACTCTTACTGATACTGCTTATCGATTCGGTACTTTGTGTTTTATATATACAGTGGGTACGGAAAGTATTCAGACCCCCTTAAATTTTTCACTCTTTGTTATATTGCAGCCATTTGCTAAAATCATTTAAGTTAATTTTTTTTCCTCATTAATGTACACACAGCACACCATATTGACAGAAAAACACAGAATTGTTGACATTTTTGCAGATTTATTAAAAAAGAAAAACTGAAATATCACATGGTCCTAAGTATTCAGACCCTTTGCTCAGTATTTAGTAGAAGCACCCTTTTGATCTAATAAAGCCATGAGTCTTTTTGGGGTCCGAGCTCGGTGTCCAGCCCGGCCCAAAATCGCTTCTCCCCGTGCTGGGGTAGAAACAATGCTGAAGGTGCGGGGTCGGGGTGGCGGAGGGATGCTGAAAGTCGAGAGATAACGAAGGTAGGACATACTTGGTTATTTATAGGAGTTTTCTCTTGCGCTGATTGGATAAATGGTGTGATCACTAATGATGAACTGGCCATGTTAATTATCCTCACCTTGTATCTGCACTTTGTTCACGATGAGGAGAGAATTGGCAAGTTTCAGACAGAACTGAACAAACCTTTTTTCATCTGAACACCTCTGATTGGCCATTACATCCATAAGCACAACAGAAACGTGATTGGTTGTAATGCTGCAAAAACCCACGTAAAACCCGAGTATTGTAGTTGACCCAATATTATCAATTAACCATTATACAGTCATTTAACAAATTTCTATGACTTTTCCAAAACTTTCTAGGTCTATTTTTCAAATTTTTTCCAGGCCTGGAAATTGCTGTTTGAACGAGTTGTTTTTTTCAGCATGACAGCAGAACAGTTGTAGAGCCCCAACAGAAGGGTGAATTTTCATTTCACGCCAATCTATTGTCTAAATGCATGTTATTTTATATTATTGTGAACAATTCATCCATGCATGTTTGATTTGCTAAAAAAAAAGAATGCCATCATAATTTTCAATGTCCCAAGTGGATCTTATAAGCACAACAGAAACGTGATTGGTTGTAATGCTGCAAAAACCCACGTAAAACCCCCGAGTATTGTAGTTGACCCAATATTCAATTAACCATTATACAGTCATTTAACAAATTTCTATGACTTTTCCAAAACTTTCTAGGTCTATTTTTCAAATTTTTTCCAGGCCTGGAAATTGCTGTTTGAACGAGTTGTTTTTTTCAGCATGACAGCAGAACAGTTGTAGAGCCCCAACAGAAGGGTGAATTTTCATTTCACGCCAATCTATTGTCTAAATGCATGTTATTTTATATTATTGTGAACAATTCATCCATGCATGTTTGATTTGCTAAAAAAAAAGAATGCCATCATAATTTTCAATGTCCCAAGTGGATCTTCCAGTGAAGCACCAGACATCTCCAATGCTTTTGACCGCTTAAACCCCACCTATTTCTTACAATCCTTTGCAAGCTCACCTTCAGATCGGCCTCCATCCATGAACCCACCCTGTAGCAACTCATGATGTAAGAACTGCACATAATAAATATTACATTATTATTGTAATAAAATGTTCATAATGTAATCATTTTCTCAGTGTAATAAAATCTTGAGCTCATAATGTAATAATTTTTCACATAATGTAATATGTTACTGTATGAGAAATGTATTGCATTATGTAACACTGTGGCAATTTATAATGCAATCACAGTTCATAAGGTAATACCAGCACATAATTTAAAACAATTATTATTGTTTACAATATCATCATATTCATCTTTCAGTATAATAAATTTGAGCACAAAACATAATCATAGTTTTATTATAAGAAAAATAGGCTTATTAGGCTACATTGTAAACTTTTATTTTATTGATTATGACATGCTTAATTTTTTAGATCTAGGCCTGGTTTCACAGACTTATTAAAGCTATAACGTTATTCAGATTAAGAGCAGATTTGCATGTTGATGGCCCAAAGCTCCAGTCTGTCACTTTAACACAATATATCGACACACATGGGATTTTCTCCAACTGTTCTCCTCCACTGAAGACATAAACTGTGTTTAAGTAAATACTCTCCAAGCTGGCCATTTGGACATATGTGTGTGTATTTGCTCAATTGGACATGCGCCCGAAGCTCAAAGTGTCATTTGTTTGTCCATTTTCAGCCTGAGGAACAGCGTCTCTTGTGTGGATTGTGCTCTCAACGTTTTATCAAACATGTGCCGCAATTTAGCAACAGTAAAGACGGCATCTTACAACAATCACGACTGAGCTGATTCTGACGTTAAGTTTGGGTTTTAGGGAGGAACGACTGCTCACCGCTGTGAAGGGAAAGAAGTTGCGCAAGACGAAACACAGCTAGTTTTTAATAGCTTTACCTCATGTCTTCTTTTGTATAATCCTTAGAAGCCAAAATCGAAATAAAAAAAATAAAATGAGCTTAATAAAACAGCCACAGGCCTAAAGTATAAGCAGAAGTTCGAATGTTTAGTTCTCTCTTCTATCTTCATTAAACAGGGCTTTCTTGTTGCGTGTGCTGAAGATCTCGCTTCTGAATTGCGAATAGCAAAAATGCATCATAGACAAATGTTTGAAAAACAGCTGGCGACTGCGGAGATAGAATTTGCAAGATAATGTGTATATAGCAATAATAAATGTATGTGTGTTTTATTAATTTCTCCAGTACCGATAGCAGAACCGTTAACGTCAGAGCTTATCGATACTCCGGTCTTTCATCATTTAGCCCCGGGACCGATTAAATACCGAGTTTCGGTACCCATCCTTACTTCTAATCTTTGACTTACCTGCACTCCAAGAGCATGGGACAATTTATGAACATTTATAGCCCCCAAAAAAAAATTTTTTTTTGACAAAATGGTAAACCGGGGTATATATTTATAAAATAAAAAAAACACACAATAGCATGCCATAGTTTCAGCATTTCATGTTTTAATTTTGCATGTTTAATTCTTCATTCCAGCTGCACTCCAAATCTACAATATTCTGAAAACGTGCACAAAAAAGTTTTAGGTTTTCCTTCCTCCTGCAAGAAAAAAATAAAACAGGAAAGAAAAAAAAATAGAAAACATAACTATTACTCAAGCAGAGTATAGAGGAAACTAGTGTTAATTCTAGAAAGTTCCTTCTAGTCATGTAATTGATCAGTAACTCAGTCGCATCATCATATAAATGTCAACTGGGACTCCTCCAGTCTGGGCTCTACACCACAGGGTTAAAAAACAATATTCTCTCTAAAAGAAATATTTTCAACTCATTATTATACCAGTCACTTATGCAGAAACTGCAGCATCTCCCATCCCTCCCTCTAACAAAATCTCCAACTTCAGGATAAGAGAAAGAAAAAAAGACAAATATTGAGGAATGACACGTATTCAAACGTCCCCCCATAAACAAACTAAAGTCACCTGAAACGGCTCACAGATTCAGATCGATCTGGTGCAGAAAACTGAGCTCATTCTCTCAAGCTCTTTTCTAGGATTTTAAAATCTGTAACTTCCTAGAGTTAAATTAAAATAAATAAATCTTCGATACAGGGAAAGCGGTCCATCTATCATCTGTAGTTGCTCTCTTTTTTATTTTTTCTGATTTTATAAGAAAAATCTGAGATAACAAAAACATTTATGCGTTTTCAGATTTTTCCACTTTCTCCACCGTCACTTCCATACGGTAATGTTAACTGACAAAATATGCAAAGAAAAGAAAAAAAGACATTAAAAACTGTACGCAAAGGGACTTTAAAAACATTTTCATGAAATAAATAAATAAAATACTTGTGTATATCCATGAAGCATATCTCGGGGTGGGTGAAAGGAAAGGTTAGGTTGAAAATACTTGGTTTCCTTTTGCACTTAGAGAGCGTAATGTGATGGAGGAGGAGAACAGGGGCGGTGGGGTGGCGGAGAGCATCAGTTCGCGGCCATTCCTGTAGCCTCGGACGAGAGTCTGAAATCACAAGAGCAGACGGGTGTCAGCGGAGACTAACTCGAGCACCAAGCCTAGGATCTATCAGAGGTGCTGATGCTACAGCACACAGAGCAGCTCGGGTACCGTGCGTTGATCAGGTACTCGGCCAGACTGATGCTGGCGGGCGAGCCGGTGATGGTGACCTGTCGGTCGGTCGAGCCCTCCACTGGATTGGCGATCTTGATCTGTGCCCCTGACATCTGACGAATCTCATTGATCTTGGCACCTTGGCGGCCGATGATGCAGCCAATCAACTGTCAGGAAAAACAGCGATATTGCCACTTTAAATAAATTTACCATTTGAACATATTGTAAAATAAAGCAATAAGCCCCAACAAGCCGTGGTTTACGGTGAATTTATAACAGCTAAGGGGCGTTGTTAGGTGCGAAGCGGGGGTTATTGCTTTTATAAAACTGTTACTCCATACAACCTCCATAAGGTTTCACAGAATAAAACGGAGCAAATAAAGTGTACTGACATTAATATAAACAGCATTCTTCCACCAAACAATGTAGCTCCTCAGAAAAGGTTGTCGAGCAGCACACAGAAGTAAACAAAGCTGTATGTTTGTAGAGTAATTTACAACGGCCTCGAACGCGGCTCAGCCAATCAGAATCAAGGACCGGAACTCTCCGCTTTATAATGTCATGTATTCCTGTGACGCTGCATTTTCAGCAGCCATTACGTCAGTGTCTAATATACTGATTAGCTGCTCAAGACACATTTTATCATCATCATCATCATCATCAATGCTGTGGAAACTGTTATTATCATAAACTCGTGGAAATAGTCCTAAAACGTTTATTTTGGTAGGATTTGTCCTGTGACGTTGCATTTTCAGCAGCCATTACGTCAGTGTCTAATATACTGATTAGCTGCTCAAGACACATTTTATCATCATCATCATCATCATCAATGCTGTGGAAACTGTTATTATCATAAACTCGTGGAAATAGTCCTAAAACGTTTATTTTGGTAGGATTTGAATAGCAAGTTCAAAAGTACAGTGACTGGGAACAGACATGATCGGTTCAAGGTTGCCATGTTCACGCAGGTTTGTTTCCACATTAAACGATGTTCCCTCAACATAGGATCTCCAGGCCACGACATTATCATGTTCCCAGAAAATTAACCCTTTCCCCGCCACTGACGAGTTTTTACACTCGGGGGCGCTATTACGCATCTTCTGAACGAGTACAAAACCTCCCGAAGAAAAACAAACGTGAACAGGACGGAGAAACCAGCCATCTCTTGTGTAAACAGATGCATATGAAAAATAATGCGATCATCAGCAATAGACAGCATATAAATGAAAACTGCATAATGTTACGGAGTTAAATGGTGATCTAGTAAGTGGTATGTGTCTGTGCAAGCTTTGGAGGTGTTGATGAAGTGATTTACTGGATTTATGCTTTGATAATCGTACTGAATATTATCCAGATGTAGTTTTTGATAGAAATGTGATTCTCACCTTTTTACTCAAAATTATGCATTTTTTATGAAACCTACCTATATTCAAGTGTTGGTAAAAAAGAAT